ATCGGTATAGCGAGGCTCGACTTAGCCCAAGACACATTTGCCGCATCTGTCCATGACGGCTTCTTGCTACTAGTAGTGATGCCCTTGTTCCTAGTAGCACTGCGATGGTTACTAGTAGCTTCTTGCTACTAGTAGTAATGCACTTGTTACTAGTAGGGACTTTCTGTTGTTTTCTTGAAAAATTGCGTTGCTGAGACTCCGGACCAAGGATGGGTCTTACTGGAACTGAGGCAACTCTGCAGCAAGCCAGCTTGACTAGGGCATTTTCTTGCATTCTTCCGTTTTCTGAGAATTCGAACTCCAGAAAGAGACCCTGAAAGGAACGTTGCTCATTATCAACATTGTGTTTTCATTCCGAGATCGGGGCGGCGGGGCGTAGTTTCCGGTGAGGTCGCAAAGGAGGCCTCTGACATGGTGCGGCCCTCAGAGCTAAGACTATTATGCGCCATGCCATGCGTCCTTGCTCCTAGGAGTACGGCCAGGAGCCCCTAGTAGCGTTCTTGCTCCTAGTAGCGATGCCCTTTGCTCCTAGTAGCTTCTTGTTCCACACATTCAATTCGTGATTCTTGACGTTCTTGCAGGCCACCGCTAGTAGGTTCACGCTTCTAGGTTGGCCCATCGCTAGTAAGCAGCCTGCACGCAGAGCGCAAATCCGGAAAAGGAAGGGTCAGTGGTTTGAGGTCCTCGCGGATGATCACTTCGCAACGATCGTGTCTGCTGTGGAGGAGGGGCGGTCCATTTACAACAACATGAAGGCGAGCAACAGTGCTTCGCGGCATGTCATTTGCGCATGCATCATACGTTGACCGGTTGTTGACTCATGACTTTGGCAGGCTTTCATTCGATATCTCATCTCATCGAACATCGGTTTGACACTCAAATATGTCGGGGGTTCAAAAAGAGAGCTTAGCAAGCAAACCAAAAGAGACTGCTGTTGGCAAAGCTTGTTAGCTTGTCTAGAGGTGAGGTGGCATCGATCTTTTTCACGGCCGCCTTGGGAATTCCAGAGGGTTTAGCACCTGTGCAGCTGCTTTGGGCCTTTTGGTGCAAAGCTCCGAGACACGGGATGTCAAAGCTAATGAGATTGCAGTAATTCAATAAGGTTGATGCATGGCATGCATGGCGCGAAAGTTTAAAGCTTGCATATTTCTTCGTTTCCATCATACTACATCTCCTTGTCGCACCTACTAGCGATGGCCTCCAACCTAAATGGCACCTTGCATTTTCCATTTTCAGTTGAGGTCAATCTGGTCACTGATGGTTTGCCAGCAACCGCCCTGAGCTTCAACCCTCCTGACTTGGACGTGATGTCCAAAGCACCAAGGCAACGGGGAGTCTTTGATTGGATGAGCAATGATGATTGGATGTTGTTTTGTAGATATTTTTCGAGAAAGTTGTTTGCACAAACCACTAGATTCGAATATCTTATGTATTGTGCCATCAGTTTAGTCTTCGTTGTGTTATTGAGTACTTGAACTTGACACCTGAGGCATGAGCACTTGACATGTAGTGGTAGATGCATTGTGTGCTCCCGTCTTTCTCTTGCACTGTTTAGACTTCAAAAAAAAGGAGGTCATTGCTATTAGGGTGGAGGCCATCGCTAGTAGGTTGGAGGCCATCGCTAGAAGGTTGGAGGCCATCGCTAGTAGGGTGGAGGCCATCGCTGGTAGGTTGGAGGCCGTCCTTTTTATCTTGCACTCTTTGGACTTCTAGTCTATGTATTTCTTCCTCTGCCTTTTGCCTGCGGTTGCAGGCGAAATGATGACAACCTCATCTCTGGTTGGGCCTCTTGGCTGCTTATGATAAGAGTCGGTCAATGGCCGCGGAAGTCAAGAAGGTGAACGTGAGATACTACGCAAGTCGCACGTTTCAACCTTAACTCTCCTTAGCCCTGGTTTGGAGTCTGGAGCCCAGCTTGTGTGCAGGTGTTCTTTCGCTATATGGTCATTGGGCTTTATGTGACTCGATGGCACCAGGGGCCGCGCTCGTCTAGCAATGTGCCTTGTGCTGAGTTGTCCATTGGCATCCTAGGTGGGCGTGGCAACCGTCGGTATCTTCATTTACTGGTACTGCTTTGATGAGAGTCCTGATGGATTCTTGGCTGTCACTGCTCAGATAGTGAACACATAGTTGCATGAAGCATTCCGAACAGCTAAATTCCTCAAGGAGCATGTCAGAACGCTTGAGTCTGACGGGGTTTTGGCAAGAGTCTTCAAGAGAGGCGTTCTTCTTCAAAGTGACCGAAATTGACACAGGGGTTTGGGTATTCAAGGCTGAAGCAAAAGGCCATAAGTGGAAGCCTGCTTGTTTTTAGAAGCGGAGGGTGCTCGGCCGGGGCAAACTTGCCGGTTGCTAGCAGCATTATGTCGGAGGCCATCGCTACTAGGTCGGAGGCCATCGCTATAGTAGGTTCGAGGCCATCGCTGGCAGGTCGGAGGCCATCGCTACTAGGTCGGAGGCCATCGCTATAGTAGGTTGGAGGCCATCGCTGGCAGGTTGGAGGCCATCGGTAGTAGGCTGGAGGCCATCGCTAGTAGGCTGGAGGCCATCGCCGGTAGGTTGGAGGCCATTGCTAGTACGCTGCAGGCCATTGCTATTGTACAAAAAGAAAAGGAAGAAAGACACAGTTTCTTGTTTGCGAGGCCATAGCCTGGTCACGGTGGGGCAGCTGATGACTTGGGGCACCTGCAGCGAGTGGGACTTTGCTCCACAGCCTTGCCTCGGCTTAAAGCTGCTAGGTGAAATGTAGCCGGCAGCACGTGATGACAGCGATGAGTTGTAGCTAGCTAGCCGAAGGTTGGAGGGCCATCACTAGTAGTTTGGAGGACATCGCTAGTAGGTTGGAGGCCATCGCTAGTAGGTTGGAGGCCATCGCTAGTAGGTTGGAGGCAATTGCATTTAGGTTGGAGGCCATCGCTACTGGTTGGAGGCCACCGCTAGCAGGTTGGAGGCCATCGCTAGCAGGTTGGAGGCCATCGCTGTATTAGCAGGTTGGAGGCCATCGCTAGCAGGTTGGAGGCCATTGCTAGCAGGTTGGAGGCCATTGCTAGCAGGTTGGAGGCCATCGATAGTAGGTTGGAGGCCATCGCTCTTAGGTTGGACGCTAGACTGACAGAGCTGACGGATCTCATTGGCTGAAAGAGCTGAGGTTCGAAGATCCTTGTACATATTTCACTCTTGGAAAGGTGAAGGCATCGACTCTCTCCTTGACCGTCTTGGCCACCTTTCAGCAAGAGGATCGTCGTCATGGGTCATTTCTTTGGTCATGTTGGGTCACTGAGCCATGCATCCTTGGGTCTTGGTGCAGCACATTGCCGTGCATCTCTTACAAAGTTGAGGTCATTATTGAAATGCTCAATGCCTTCAATGCCATCTCAGAGGACCGGTGTCGTCTTGTGAGGACCCGGTTGGCTGCCAAGTGTCTCGCCACAGGATGGCTCACTGCTACAGATGGCACCTTGGGTGAACCCCTGGCTGGTGGCTGCATGCATGGGCCAGGACCTCGAAAGCTTCAAATCTGAAAGCTGTTCAGCTATGTTCGGCTGTTTCTTCCAAAAGCATGGCCTCCAACCGACTAGCCATGGCCTCCAACCTACAGAATAGCGATGGCCTCCACCCTACAGTAATAGCGATGGTTTCAAATCTGAAAGCTGTTTCTGCTTCCGCTAGCACCGCAGCTTTCCTTTGTTCTTCGGCTCAGGTTCTGTCGTGGTGCACTTCGCTGCCTAGCTGAATCCGATTGGAGCGATCACCGCGACCAAACCGAAAAGACAAATCTTTTTGCTGGGACGCCACTGCCATCGCTAGTAGGTTGCAGCCCTACTAGGAGGCCATCACTAGTAGGTTGAAGGCCAATTTGCAAGTTTCACGATGTTGTTCTTTCGCTGACACAGACAACCCGTGCTCCTTTGTCTTTGCGGAGTTCTTGAGGTCATCCTGTACACGCCAGTTCTGGCGAAGGTCTTTGCAGTGTACCCACTGGATTGGCATGATTGGGCCACTTGGAGCCTCAAGATCCATGGATGGTAGTCTAAAGGTGTTGAACAGAAAGATGAGAAAGACGAGAAAGAAAGGTCGAACGGGTGTTGTTTCATGACACCAGCATAGACCACAAATGGCGTCACCAGGGCAACGCATCGGGACAACACCTGGACGCATGAGTGCGCCGGTGTGGCCACAGAGTGTGGAGAACACGGGAGAAGCCGACAGCCGAACTCCGTATGTTTGGGAACCAATACATGACACCAAGGTAAAATGTTTGGGAACCAAAAATGTACAAACGAAACAGTACATTGCTGGATTAGACGATTAGAAAACCAAAAATGACACGTGCATAGCATACGCATCACCTCATAGCTGGATCCCAAATGCTACTAGTAGCATGATGCTCCTGGTAGCGATGCCTTTTTGTTCCTAGTAGTGTCCTTGCTCCTAGATGCTCCGAGGTCCTGGTGATGCAATTTTCCTTTCCCGTGATCATCTTGGATGAGGTCCTGAAATTCTTTGGCCGGCAATACCACCGACACCGAGACGAGCCCTGGCTCGACATCAAGCGACATCCATCTCCTCCACCCGAGCGCGGGTCAAAAAGCTCCTAGTAGCGATGCCCTTTGTTCCTAGTCGCATCCAAGGTGGCAGCCAAAAGCGACTGATGCCAAGAGTGTGAAGGATCGGCGATGGCCTCGGAACAAACATTTAAAACGTGCAACGAAGGAGTTACTGAAACAAGCCTCGGCTCGTGCCTCGGCTCGTGCGCCGGCTGAAGCCCCTGCCATTTGAGGTCCAATGCACTCGGCGAAGGGTCCAAGCTTCGGCAAGCGCCGAAAAAAAAATGGCAAACGTTGCTTCGCTGTGCTGCATATGAAAAGTGCAAATGAAAGAGTATGAAAGGATACAAATTTGTATCCAACCTAATAGCGATGGCCCCCAACCTAGAAAGAGACAAACATTGCGTCGCTTTGAGTTTTTGGAAGAACTGTCTTGGGTTCATTCACTGCCAGGAACATGCACGTGAGCTGATCTCTGCCGAGTCTGGCCTTCATTTTGCATATGGCTCAGGGACCTGACCTTGACAGAGCAAGAACGCTATTAGGAGCAAGGACGCTACTAGGGGCTCCTGGCATCGCTACTGGGAGCAAGGACGCTACTAGGTTGGAGGCCATTGCTATTAGGAGCAAGACCTTGACCGGCACATTCGGGCTTGAGGCGAAAACCCTCTGCGGCGAGCGGAAGGAAGCCATACTGCTTTGGACTCAGCTGGTCGGGCGAAAGGAAAAGGGTGGAACGCTGTAAGTCGCAAGTCACGATGTTGCCTGGCTCTGTGGGTTGCCACCTCAGCCTAAGAGCCCCTGGTAGCGTCTTTGCTCCTAGTAGCGATGCCAGGAGCCCCTAGTAGCGTTCTTGTTACTACTAGCGTGGCACTTGTTCCTAGTAGCTTCTTGTTCCTGAGGCGGGGCAATGAGTTCATGATGGTGATCAATGCAAACCCCGAGTCTCGAAGTCGGGTTGAGAAGGCCATCCCGATGCGGCTTTCGCTAGGTTAGCCATCGCCAGTAGGGTGGCCTATTGGGATGGGACTCAAAGGCTGCGGTCCCAACGTTGCGATAGCCAGGGCGAGTGGTGCTTGCGGGTGAATCCCAATGGAGTGGACTTGAACCGCAACTGGGATGAGCATTGGGAGGCCTGGAGCTGCTTGACCTAGAGAACATGCGTGATAAAAAGAGGGACGGAAGGTCCAAAAGTAAAAAAAACATGAAGAGGATCAGCGTTCTTGCAACAAGCTTGGTCAATGCGACATTCCAAACCTACGGCTTTGAAGAAAGCCTTCTTGTAACCGCCAAGACTTAAGTTCTTTTGGAGTACTGGAGTAGCGCTTTTGCAAATTCTTTTGCACATAGTCCTATAAGCAGTAGCACAAAAGATCAAACAAGTGCAGTTGTCCAGCTTTCCAGAAAAAGCTGAGCCTTAAGAGTCTGGGTGCTTGGGGCACTTTCGAGCATAAGAAGGTGTATCGCTTGAGTTGTGCAGGGAGATGCCTCTTTCGGCAAAGACACCAATCCAGGTGAAACGCCCGCAGCTCACAAAGCTTAGGCAATGTCAACCGGAGCATTGAGCAATTAGAAGCCTCAACAAAGCATCCACAAAGACCAACTCTACTCGCATCATATGACAGATGACATGGTCATCACGCTGTTCTTGAATGTGTCATATGCTGAGGCCGTTCAGTGAACCTGAGACACAGCTCCTCAAACAGTTGCATCCTCGGTATCGCATGGATGGTATGGCTTGGTGTGAACTTACTCATCTCTTACAGTATGGATACACTTGCATACAGCGAGGGAGGAAGAGGGCGCGAGAGAGGGATACAAACATCTATCATCTAACTACTACTACTACTACTACTACTACTACTACTACT